TCAAAATTCCCCATGATTGTAAATGCGTAGAATTTTGTCAATTGACTTGTAAATAGCATCTTTGTCCGATCTTTCAATTCAGTACAGAATCGGAATTTGATCGCTTTGTCAATACAGACAAAAAAAAAGAGAAATATTGATGATAAACATGTTGTCGATGCATAACTGTGTGGGCATGTGCGGCACAGGCAAATTTCAAGTTCTATGGGGTCTGGAGACATCAGCAGCTTGCCCACGCTGCGGCAACTTCGATGATCATCTGCATGTTCCCCGCTGCCGCGCCGCTTCGGCCACGGCTGAATAGGATCGTCGCACTGCAGCCTTCTCCGCGTGGCTTGACCTGCAACTGACGGGCCCTTCCATTAAAACAGCGATCCTACAGATTCTTCAGGGCGTTCGAACACCTCCTTCATTTCCTCCAAGGACCATCTCCTCTTCGGTCTGGCCGGCCTTCTTGGCTCAGCAAGTGATTGGGTCCCAAGGCCTTTTGGAAGGACGCATCGCCTTGTCTTGGCTTCCACTCCAACAACAACATTATGACAAGATAAGATGTCAACGATCTGTCTCTCTTTGGGCGTCCCGCCTCTCACAACAGCTGATCTTGATTGGCTTCTACATGTGGGAGCAACGGAACTCCATTCAACATTCGGATGATAACGTACAATTATGTGAACGTCACAGTACTGTCAATGAGGGGATTCACTCACAGTTTGATATGGGTCCCGATGACTTGCCTAAGGAAATTCGACCAATGCTAACAAGTCGTTGACGAGTCCTTTGCAAGCCCTTGGTCGTAGACAAGGAAGAGTGGCTTAAGTTGCTTTGTCAGGAACGAAGAGATTTCCGTCGCTCCATGAAAGCACAACGCCGCAGTCTGCGGACTATTTTCTCCTTTGGACCCTGACCAACTTTTTGCGGGACCTTATATGCCCCAAACTCACCCCGCCACGTTGTGGGAGAAGTCTTTACCCCCTTGGGAGACTTGAGCAACTTCTGTTCAAAATACAGATGCCTCACATGGTTCAAACTTGTTGTTGACTCACCGCTTCACAGTACTTGACCTTTACAGCTGAAAATCTCACCGGCAATCGAATGTCCACAGAGTAGCATACTAACAATTAATGTCTCAGTTATTATTATTATTATTGAGCTTCTTCCCACAGTCGACATATTGGTCCTGATTCTTCCATTGGATCTTTGGTAGCAGTCTGTCTGGGCATTTTGGAGACACATGGTCTTTGTTGCCACACACATAACATGCTGCCTTCTTTCCATCCTTTGATTTCTTCTTTCCTTTTCCTTTACCTTTACCTTTATTAGGTTGGTCTTTTCCTTGCTACAGGTTCACTCCCGGATTTTTACTCACATCAATGTGAATCTTCAACATATCTTGTGCTTTGCTGACCATCTTTCGATAATAATTCACTTCTCTGCAATAGTTCGTCTGAAGATCCAGCATCAGAGGAGCTGTTCTCGTTTGATCGCTGTTGCATAGAAATCCTGTTGCAAGAACAGCTTCAAAGATATCATCCTTGAACTTGTTTTGAGCACTAGTATTGGTGCTAGCAATAGCAGCATACGCTTTTGTCTTGACTGCGAAATTTTGGAACCAGGCCACGCCATATAGATCTTGCAGGACTTCAGCCTGTCTCAAGAATCGTTCCTTGAAATGCATCAAGTTTTCTGTTGCTCCTTGCTTCATAGCAAAGAACTTTTGATTCGCTTCCCAGAAATCCAAGAAATCATACTCAGCATCAGCACTCTTCTTCATGAATCGTTCAATACGTTTCAAGAGTTTGATTGGATCTTCAAGAGTAGTCGTGAAATTGGCTTCACCTCAAAGCTTGATATCCATCGCCTTCGTCACAAACTTCAGCATGATGTTTGATTTGACGCTTCTCTTGTTTGTCTCAAAATAGGCTGATCTTTGCATGTTCTTGTCGAGCTTTGCAGAATAGAGAATCTTGTTTTGGGCCATCTCTTTTTCTCTTGCAACAGCTTCAGTTTGAGTTGGAGCGTTCAATCTTGGAGCGATTGCATTGAAGTCGATTGACTTTCCATCTCAAATTGATTTCGCCATGTCTTCGGAACATTTCATTCCAGAAGCTTGGATGTTGTCAATTACTCTTTCTTTGGCATCTTTGTACAACAATCTTGCCTTTCCATCGTTTTCATCTTTTGTTGAAAATAGATGTTTCACAACTGTTGAACTCGAATTGCTCTTGACTTTCTGAAGAGTCACATGTCCTCTTCCACCACCGGATGAAGAACGTCCCATCGCCAACGAATCACTCACTCCTTTGTAGATAAGGCAGTGCTGTTCTTGACATAAATTTGTTTTGTTGCCCTTTGTGATTGAATGTTAGAATAAAGCAAAATGTGCTCTATCGTGAGTGCCTTTAGCGCTCAGAACAAACTGTCTGCAATCTAAATTTGTAATCGACTGTACAGCACTTTCACGACAATAGTTCTCCTGTGTCAAGGTATACTTTGAGTGAAATTGTTCCTATTTGATTAATGTTTGGCTTGAATTGATGATTCAATCACAAAAGTAAGTTCAACAATTTTCCCTTGGAAAATCCCTTGTTTACAGAACTTGATTTGACGTCTACGACAATTCTGTGTTGAATACATGAGCGATAACGCACAGCGGTTTCAATGCAGGTGCGAAACTTAGCATTCTCGATCTCCATGTGATCAATACAGACGGTAATAGATCGATTGTGCTGATATAATTCCTCTGGTGGACTGAAGAAGTCGTCGTACTGCAGATGATGCTTTCATCCTTGATGTAAAGTATGAAGCAACAACTGGAGCTGAAGTTGCTTCCAAGCAAGTCCACTTGACAAAACAACAACAAGATCAATTGGCAACTGCATTGGAAAATACACAAGAGCTTTTTGATGGCACCTTTGGACACTACAAATACAAGAAGATCCATTTGGAAGTTGAAGACGGTGCTTTACTGATTTATTCCAAATCCTATTCTGTTCCTGTGAAACACCAACACGCTTTTCTCAAGGAAGTACCAACGGATGGCAATGGGATTGAAACCAGCTCCTGATGTTGCTACATTGAGAAGACATTGCATGGTTTGAAGGAACAAGGTGTTGAAGTCTACATCAACGATATTGGACTCTTTTCTAACTCTTATGACAAACATATGAAATTGATCATGACTGTTGTCGAACGACTTCAAGAGGCAGGTTTCAAGATTAATCCTTTGAAATGTGAATGGTGTGTTCAAGAAACCAATTTCTTGGGCCATTGGTTGACCCCTGAAGGTGTAAAACCTTGGAAGAAAAAGGTTGATGCCATCCTCAAAATGAATGCACCTCGCAACATTACTGAACTACGACCTTTCTTGGGTGCTGTGACCTACTATCGTCACATGTGACCCCGACGTTCTCACCTTTTGCAACCGTTGACAGCTCTCACTGGAACACGCACATTTCAATTGACATACAAATGTGATAAAGCTTTCCAAACAATGAAATCTTTGATCATGGACAATCAAATGTACATGAAGAAGTAAACTCTGCAATCCCTTACATGTCTGAAACTCTTGACCCTCTTGACAAGGCAGAATTCAAGGGAGTTTTCTTCAATGCTCACCCCAAGCCTTGGAAGGACGCCTTCCTGGAGATCAACGGTACCATTGACAGCCATTCCGTTGCCAGCATCACTTCCTACATGCAACGCAAGGCTCGACAAGCACACAACAAGGAATTGAAGAATCAACTCCACCAGAAGATCGAATCCAAAAAGAAGAAACGCACGGCTGGTGCCCATCACAGGGACAATTTGAAACCTTTCAAGAAATCTCGTACTGACCATGCAAGTCATGAACATTGAGGGAATCCTTTTCCCTGAATTTTCTCCCATGCAAAAAGTGGAATCCACGTTTGAAACAATTGTTTTTGATTCAGACGCGAGGTACGATATGATTATTGGAAATAATATTTTGCTTCCCCTTGGAATCGATTGTTGCGGATCTACCAAAACAATCAAATGGATGGACAAACATGTCCCTTATAAGCCGCCCGAATCTGGCCTCAGTCCTCAAACTACTGATCCAAACGAAGATACATCCATGTTGATGGCGCAATTGATGGCAACCCATTGCTATCACTCAGACCCTGATGAAAGTCTCAATGAACACATTGAGCAACAGATATCTCATTCCTTTAATATTGCAGAATCCAAATATGATTTAGTTCCCTTGGAACATGTTGCCAAACAACAACAACATCTAAATGGTAAACAACAAAACGATCTTTACAATGTTATAAAAGACTTCGAACCCTTGTTCAACGGTAACCTCGTTTGTTCCGTCAAGCTTGGCCCTTTCAAAGGTCCTATAGCACGCCTCAAGCTTACTCCCGAAGCAAAACCATTTAAGAACCGTCCATATTCAGTCCCCAAGAGTCATGAAGCAGTCTTCAAGAAAACTATTGATGAAATGGTCCAATGGGGTATTTTTGAGAAATGCGTCCAATGGACTACTTATCTCCCACCTTTATTGTTCCAAAAAAGGACGGTAGAGTTAGATTTGTTTCCGACTTTTGACAACTCAATAAGATGATTAAACGCAAGGTTTGGCTACTGCCAAAAATACAAGATATTCTAAAGGAACAAAATGGCTACAAGTATTTCACCAAGCTTGACCTTTTGATGTTTTTGTACACCTTTGAAATGGACAAAGCGTCCAAGGACCTTTGTGGCATTGTTACATCCTTCGGCAACTATCGTTACACGCGTCTTCCTATGGGCGTCAAACAATCTCCTGACATTGCTCAAGCACACATTGAACAGCTCCTTGCTGACTTTGAAGAAGCAGACGTCTACATTGACAATGTTGGAATCTTTTCCAATGATTGGAACTCACACATGGACAGCCTCAATTTGTCAGAACGCCAAACCTCTTGCCTATTACTCTCGTAAGCTTTCTAAAGCACAGTTGAACTACACTGTTGGAGAAAAAGAAATTCTCTCCATTGTGGAAACTCTCAAAGAGTATCGTACCATGCTGTATGGTGTCAAGGGACTACATGTCTACACTGACCACAAAAATCTGACCTTCCAGAATCTCCAAAGCCAACGCGTCCTACGCTGGCGCCTATTCCTCAAAGATTTCCATCCGATTTTCTATTACATTAAAGGAGAGCACAACACTCTCGCCGATGCCCTTTCTCGCCTAACTATGACACCGCCTTGGTGGCAGAATGACAACCCTAAGGATCCTATTGACTTATATTGTCGACCGATTGGAGCCTACCAAGAGTATGCCCCTCTCATTGAAACAACATCCAATGTTGACCTATCATCAAATGATAACAGAACCACAGTATCCAATGCTAACATATCATCCCATGATACTCTAAATTCATTTTATTCTATGGCCACTGATTCGCAATTACTCAATTGCTTTGTTCACCTGCCCGTTCAGGATAGCTTACCTTTTGTTCTTGATTTC